CAGTGGTGCCCAGCGCCAGGACAAGGGGCCATGGGCACAAACTGAAGCAGAAGAGGTTCCAGTTGAATATGAGGAAGAACTTCTTGACTTGGAGGGTGCCCGAGCCCTGGCCCAGGCTGCCCAGGGGGGCTGTGGAGTCTCCTTCTCTGGAGATCTTCAACCCCCGCCTGGACGCTGTCCTGTGCCCCCTGCTCTGGGTGAGCCTGCTTGAGCAGCGGGGTGGGATTAGGTGATCTCCTGAGGTCCCATCCAACCCCTGCCATGCTGGGATTCATTCAAGCTGGCCACGATTATTATTTATTCAACAGAATTATTATCAGCCCCATTAACGTATTTATTCAAGAGCGGGGCGGAGACGACGCTTCCGAACGGGAAATCCACGTCTCCCAATGCTCCTTTCCCCTCTATGGGAGGTTAAACCTGATCGAAGGCTTTGAGGAACTGATGGATTTGACCTCAACCGCTGTCGCTCGCTGACATCAAAGGCGGAGCCTTCTGGATGTTGCGGCTTAGGTGAAAAAAAAAGGGAATGACCGGAAAAATGTGAGAACCCAATGGGATTTCGCCAAGGGGAAGCTGACGCAATTTGGTGAACTTTTAGGATGAAGAGTTTAGCTCGGTAGACGAGGGGAGAGCGATGGACAGCATCTTCTGGGCTTCAGTAGGACCTTTGGCACCATCAGATTCTCTTGGAGAAGCTGTTGACGAGCAGAGGGTGAGGTGGGTTGAAGACCAAGCCCAAGGGGTGGTGATCAAAGTTGAGTTGGAGGCCAGTGCCCAGTTGAAGGCCAGTTGGAGCCCAGTGCCCAGTTGGAGGCCAGGTGTCAATCCTAGGTCTAGTCCTAACATCTTCATTGAGGATCTGGATGATGGGGCAAGATGTTCCCTCAGCAGATGACACTCAAGCGGGAGAAGCGGCTGATAATGCAGAAGGTCGCGTCGCCGTTCCAGAGGGACCTTGACAGGCTGGAGAAATGGGTTTGATGGGAACCTCATAAAGTTCAACAAGAAGAAGTGCAAATTCCCAGTCTCTTCCACAGGTGCCAGACTGTGCTGGGGCTCACCCAGCTGGAAAGGAACTCGGCAGAGGAGGACCTGGGGGTCTTGGTGGACACCAAGTTGACCATGAGCCAGCAAAAGAAGGCCAACGGTGTCCTGGGCTGCGTTAAGACAAAGCATTGCCAGCAGGTGGAAGGAGGTGACCCTTCTCCTCTGCTCAGTGTTGGTGAGGACACATCTGGAGTGCTGGGTCCAGCGCTGGGCTCCCCAGTACAAGAAAGACACAGACATACCGGAGAGACACCTTCTGGTGGCCTTTCAATATATAAAGGGGCCTGAAGAGACAGGACAAGGGGTGACGGTTTTAAACCCACAGGAGGGAGGTTTCGATTGGATGCAAGGAGGAGATGTTGTACCATGAGGGTGGTGAGACACTGAGGCAGGTTGGCCAAAGAAGTTGCAGATGTCCCATCACAGAAAGCATTCAAGGTCAGGTTGGATGGGGCTTGGAGCAACCTCATCCAGTTAAGGATGTCCCTGCCCACGGCAGGGCGTTGGACTGGGTGGCCTTTGAAGGTCTCTTCCAACCCAAACCCTTCCATGACTCTAGGGACAGGGCTTTGGAGCAACCTCATCCAGTTGGAGGTGTCCCTGCCCATGGCAGGGGGGTTGGACTGGGTGATCTTTGAAGGTTCCTTCAACCCAAACCCTTCTGTGATTCTACGGATGAGCAATCTGATCCAGTGGAAGATGTCCCTACCCACAATTCTTTGAAGGTCCCTTCCAACCTAACTCATTCCATGATCAGGATTTTGCTACTAAACTTCAAGAAACGAGCAAATCAACCCCGCAATGTTGTCACCAAAGGTGGAAACTCAAATGTTCCTCCAGCCCGGGCAAGGTGGTACCTGCCACCGCACACCCTTCCCAGCGGCGA